AGCTAATAATAATTAGGACAGGTAACGAGGGAAACTCAGTTGCGCACGCATGCGCGGCCGTCCACGTTAATGAGTGGGGCGAGGGGCGAAGGAAAGTTAGAGCACGCTTTTAACCAGCTGACAACAAGATATTAATCAGTAAGAAGCAAAAATATAATATTGCAAAATCAAGATACCTGGGGTTTTTGAAGTCAGGCAGGATTATGACAGGTTTATTTCTTCCATGGGGATCTTGAGGTTTGACCTAAAATGTCCCTTATATCATGAATTTTTTCGAATCATGCTGGTGTATCTCATGAAATTTCAAACTGCATGGTCCCCATGCAAACCTTGGCACTTGAAGCATAAATTGCAACAATAAATTTGAGAAGCTGGAGCTGACATTCATGCATACCCTTCTCCCTGTATGTCAATGAAATCTGTGCTTGAATTATTCAAAGGATATTCAAGGAACTGGGGATTTTTGGTCAACCCCTTCTATTCATATCCTCCAACGATTCAGCTACATATTGCTGAATATTGGCTCAAGTGACCTGATCATTAATTAAATTTTGCATCAGAGTTTGGATTTCCTCCACAGTGAAGAGCATTTTCACACCAGAAATGGCTTATTTACTAATTCAAAGCATTTTACCGCAACCTCTTCTTTTAATCATTGCTTTCAATGCACATGCAGTAAGAAACATTGATGTTAAAAAGCACTGTTCTTTTTGCAAGAAAGAGGGTGCAGCATTATAATCATTTATTTTGAAAATGCAACATGAGTATCAGAACAGTGTAAAAACATGGCTGCAGGAAGAGTAAAAATCTGGATGTTTGAAACAATAATTAGGTCATTGTAATGCTGCTGGTTCTCTATTCCAGTCACATCCTAACATCCGCATACCCATTGGTGCAAGCCAATGCCTTGGCAAATTCGGTGCTGGGCTTTCAGCCCGGCTACCGTGTGGTAGTAGGTGACCTAACATCAGAGTACCAAGAAGCTCAAGAAGAAGATTTTGTGGTGTCTTGGGAAGACATCAGTGTTCATCCCGACTACATCGATCCCAAAGTGGAAACGCAAGGATTGGTGAAGAATAATTTAGCCATTATTTCTCTGCCTTCATCGATCACAAGCTCCACGTCAGCATCCTACATCACCATCGAAGTGAGCAAGGTCACTAATGACCTAACCAGCTACGATGTCAATGTAGCTGGTTGGGATGCAGTGGCTAGCGCTGCCGTCCCTGGTGAGGAATTGACTCGTTTTGGTGATACCCCAAAACATGGACGAATGAAATCAGGGAAGATTTTAAGCTAAAATAACTGCTGAAACATCTGAATGATGTCTTGAGATGTGGACACTTCCAACATTTCTAGGATAACTTGAAAATGTTATACGTACAAATGTTGATATCTCTTGAACAAATTGAGCCATTTGGCGGAGTGGACCAAAAAAGTGAACCGATTTTTGACACAAAATAGCTCTGCAAAAATTTAGCTGTGGCAATGATGAAAACTTTAGATGAAAGCAAGTTCAAGATTCCCTTGATAGTTTAGTAGTTCTCAATGCCCTGGCATTGTTACAAGAACCAATGAAATGAAGACCTTCCAAAAAAATTTGTTTGGGATCAATTTTTTCATCATCATCAGCAGAAGTCAGTAATAAAGTATCGTTAGGTTGTTATAGACCAAAATGCATCATCTTGGACACACATTCACCTGTTCATCGGGATCAATGTATGAATCAATTTGAAGCACTCCAGTTACCCCAAAAATTTCACATATATGGGAACAAGAGGCATGAGGTTGGCACACAGCAAGCTTGCATTGTGATTAGGGAGACATTTCAACACTTCTACCCCATCCTTTCAAATTCTGTGAATTTCTGCATCTTCTTGGAGGCAGCATTAAATTTTCTGTTTAAATGTTCGGTCCTGTACCCATTTATCTTTAAAAAAAAAGCCTTGAAAACCTCCTCAATCCATCATCCTTAAAAACGGTATGATGCCTGCATACAAACTGTGGAAATAAGTGAACGCTTTAAAAAAATTGGAAACATTTTTGATAGGAGTGAATACAGTATAATCTTTGTGGTTTCCAGCTTGGCGCCTGACTGAAGCAACTTTCAAAGGAGATTATTGCACGGATTCAAGGATTGCAGATTACAGATCATTGTCTTGTTATTACAGTACAAGCGCATACGCAGGACCATGTGACGGTAAAAATGGCGAAGTGAGTCTGAAAAAAGTTCTTCACGTTTTTGCAAATACAAAGTCCGCGAAATTTATTCTTGTGATGTCTATGTGAACATGATGTTATTGTGAACACTGTATCTTTATGTAGTCGGTCTCACTGATTGATGATCTTCAGTATCTGCTCAAAACTTTGGTATTAGCTAGTATGTAACGTACACAAATACCTCATTGATGTGCAATGTGACCAAACCAAACAATCAAGTTTTCCCATAGACTTTGATGGAAATACTGTATGTATCTAGTTGGTTCTCCCATGTTGAGGAATTAATCAACCAAACATAAAGAATTGAACCATAGCGCAGTGGAAGAAAAGGTGGGAAATAATAAGGCAGGGCAATCAGCCGGTTTGTTGCCAGGAATATGTAATTAAGGGGGTACCTTAATTACATATCCCTAGTTTTGTCTGGTTTAATCATAGTCCACAATAAATCACAATCAAACACAATACAAAAATAATGCATCACAATAAATGCAATAATGCAACACACATTCAATGAAGATAAAAAATTTGTGCACACAAATTTAGGGTGCAATAATGCAATGCAAGAATTCAAGCAGAGGAATTGGGGTTGGAATGATTTCTGGGAAGTTTACTGTAAGAGCTAATTTTAAGGACTGATTCTTGGGAGTGGAAGAGTGCTGGGTTTTTACGCAATTTAGCACAATGCTTCAGTCAGCTGACCTGACCAAAGCATTGGACGTTTTTTCTTGCCTGTGATTGGCTGGAGAATTGTGAATTAAAGAAGTTGCTCATCCGCGGAGCAGATGCACAAAGAAAAACGGGACCAGAATTCAGGTCCTGGTACCTGACGTCCCTGGACCCCAGTTCTGGTTCCCCAACATCTGGTTCATCAAAAATTAAGAATGACGTCCCAAACAAATTCATTACTTTATTTTCTCAACTTCAAGGTGCAGGAAATGACATTGTAGAAGAAAACACGCATAACCTGATATATTTGTATCAACAGGAGCACAATTAAGAAGCAAAAAACAGGAATACACTTTGCTATACTGTTCAAGCACACCTGATGGGAAATTATTTGAAATGAAGGACAACATTAGCCGATTTTTGATTTTGGATTTTAGTAATCTAAGAGTGACTATTTTTAATTTTTTGGAACATAAATAGCTCAATTCTTCAAGATGTAGAAAAATGAATTTATCAAGTTTTTTAGGGATGTTCAAAAAGTGTCTGTATCTCAAGACATCATCTGGATGTTGATGCAGATTTTTCCCAGGTTTAGCATTGAACCCTCTGTATGTTGGGGTTCCACTGTATAATAAATCCCCCTGTAATTCTTCCTCAACCACCTAGCAAAGAATATGGCACAGCAAAATGCATATCAAATGTTTTGACATGTCCAGCTGCTATGCATGATGTGTTCTGTTGTGCATAGCTGCTAGGCAAATCAAAACGCCTGCTATTATGTATGTAGCGGCCAGGCAAATCAAAATGACTTTCTGATTTTCCCACCCTTAAAACTGTCATTGTATTTACTGCAATGACAGTTTTTGTAACAACAGTAGCTGTCATTGTGGTAACTGGAGCACTAAAGTATTCCTAAAAGCTCTACAGCAGTTTTTTTTTTTTTCAAAAAACATTTCCTGTAAAACTCGATGATTAAAGTAAGTCCAATTTTTTATCCTATCTCAAAGCTGCCATGAGCTTTACTTGGAAACATTTAAAAATATCTCAACACATTTTGTGTGGAAATTTTACACTAAAAGAACTTCAACAGTCAACGTATTGTTGTTGCAGTTATTTCCTGCTATAGTAGTAATAAAATACTTTTTCCTCAGCCCAGGTGGGTGTAGCAAAACGCCTGCCTGCTACACCTTCATGCCTGGGCAGGTGCAGCAAAAAACGCTGGATATACCTAGCTGTGCATTCCAAGCACATGCTGCTACAAATAGGAGTTACATTCAGCTCTGGGCATAGCAAATAATTTGCTGGGCAAATCCTAATTCTTTTTTACAGGGTGATGTGGGAACAGGAGTGAAAACTCAGGGAAAAAAGAAGCTCATTGGTTCCCTTGACATACTGGTCGCCATCAACCAATTCAGCCTATGCGACGAGAATTCGAAGCACTATTCTTTCGGTTCTTCCATGAGTTACAGTTCGCACTTTTCATTCGTCTGCAAACAAGCTTCCATGTGCCTGAGTTACGGAAAGCCCGGCAAGTGGCTCTTCGAATATATACCGAACTTTCTGAGGCGTTTCTTGCCGGTCTGATCACCAACTATTCCCAGTGTGTCTCCGGCTCACCATTCATGACTGAGGCAGCAATAATAGTGTGTAGTTGGTTTTATTTCAGTCAATTGCTGCGATTGAAGAAATAAACGTTACTTGGTCGGTGATGCAGAAAGAGCTATCGGTTTTCGCAGTTTTTTTTTATCTTTCCGATTTCCACCTGATTCACGTAATGATCACGCGTCCAATTTCCGTAAAAGGAGAACCGAGGAAGCAAAAGAAAATTAAAAGCTTTGTATATACGAGTGCCATGAATGGTTACCACTAGCATTTCAATATGCAATAAGATGCGATTTGCTTGGAGAAAGACAATAACGAGGAAGAATAAATCAGCTATCAAGAAATCGAAGGCAATGGCTAAAAAGTATCGCCCTGATACTGTAATTGGAGCATTATTGACTTTTTCCAGGGAGTACCTTCGTAATGTGTTCCCATAAAATTATACTGTAGGTGCATCGGGGGCCTGGCATACGGATACTTTTATCAAACGGGGATATTCGACTTTGGGATATGAAGCTAAAAAAAGTTGCCCCAACATCCAGACCATAAATGTCTCAAGAAAGTCAATGGACATAAACTGTAACCAACATATTGTATCTAGAAAAATTGACCAATTTTTAAATTTTGGTACCAAGGGAAAAAGTTAGCGTTTTCTACTTTACAAAAAATGTTTGATTATGCCTACAGTATTATACATAAATCTAAACACACCAACTTTGTGCGTCATCTTCCAAAGTTGTTTGTCATGTACATCAAGATCTAAGAAGAATCGCCTTTTTTCTTTGCTGTTTGTGCTAATTTCCATGCCAGAACATCAAATTAGGTCTCTTTTCCTCATCTACCCTCTTATTTCCTGTATCTTGAAGCTAAGATAAATTATTTATTCTGGTTTTTGGATTCTTTTTCCACATTCCTGGCCAATCGTAAGGAGACTAAATGTTCCCTTGAACTCGAATATCGCCATTCAGGTGTAACGGAACATTTTATTAACATGTGGGCATGACGACATAGGGATGGACAAGGTCCACACACCAGTTATGTCCCCATGTCGGGGCCTCATTCTGTATGGTTCATGAAGAAGAAAACAATTCAAAGGCATAAGACGTGCTGATGAGGCGCTTCCGAAAGCAGGAAATTTCAAATGGGGATCAAAAGGTGTCCCTGCTGCTGAATGCAGCAGCAGCAGCAGCAGCAACTAAAAGGCGGCGATGATGAGGAATGATACGATGCTATAATTGTGATTATAATGAGAATAGCAATAGTATTGTAATAATAATATTCAGGGTCTCTTCGGGAATAGAGAGAGAGAGAGAGAAAGAGATGAACATAGAGGTAGGTTTGCGGATTTATGAGCCACGTCCCATAGCCGGGCCGCGATCATTCTCTTTGTTCCCCGGCGAGCCCATTCTGATGTAAATCTGGGCGCCCTGTTGGACAGGGCCCGGGCACCTTTGACACCATCACCTTTTGCCTGCCCCCGCCGACACACGGGTGGCCGGAGATACTCCCCTCCAATGTTTATTTCTTCTTCTTCTTCCTTCTCTTCTTTTGACGATTTATCTTTTTTTTTATTTGCGTATTTATCAGAGTTTTTTATTAATATCATTTACTGTTCTTCTTCTTCTTTTCTTTTACTCTCACATCGTATCAAAATTGCGATTCCTGGGTCCCTACTCCCTACAGAACTTCCGTCAGTGCTTACAACTCCACAGTAAATCTTGTGAGCTTCTGATCATGTTGCTGGATGCTGACAATGATGTCCCTCTTGGAAAGAAACTATATTAAACTGTATTTTTTCCTCAAAATATGCATCAATGTACAATTTCTTCATTGGCAGAGTGGAAGGTTCACATGGGGATCAAATAGTCGAGTAAAGTGTTCCTCAACATTTGTGGGCCCCTGGACAGTAAATTTCCATTAAAAAAAAAAAATCCAGACTGGCAAATTCCCAAAAAGATGTCTGCAGACCAATGTAGTTTCATGAGTTTTTTACAGGCTTGAAAAAAATTCTTCCATATAGACTTTATGGCAGGTTTATAAAAGTTTCTGCAATTCTTGCAAAAATTAATGTAAGCACCTATGCAGCAGGTATAGCTAAATATGTCATCAAAAACTTTGAAAGGTGGGCTTGAAGAGAGGTTTCTCACTATGAGAATTTTAAAATTATTTATTTCAGCAGGTGAAAAAGTGCCTGATGTTTTATTAGGAGAAAAGCCAACTTTTATTTTCCATCAAATGATTTCAACTGCCACTGTATTTTCAAAGTGTTATGTAATGATAAGAGAGTTCATTGCAACCTCTACTAAAAATGCATCATTCCAAAAATTGTCCAAGGACCAACAAAAAACTTCTGTGGATGGGGGGGGGGGGGGGGGGGGGGTTTTCCTGGGATTTGAAATGATTGAATGTATTGGGGGGAGTTGGGTGGGGTGGGGAGGGGGTTTGGATGCGGGAGTTCTGGTTATTGGGGACCACTGGTTTAATAGATGAATAAGCTTCATTTTCAGATTTTTAGCAAAGTTCAAAATATTTTGCAAAAGAAAATCTAGGGAAGATGAGTATTTAGTAATTTGAAAGATACACAAGTGATTAGCAGTTTCACGAAATTTTAAACATTTAAGCAGTAATTTTGAAATTCTTGCATTTTTATAGGTTTCTAATGGCTAGTGAAAGTTGGTCAAATATGCGTCTAAAAATCTGCTGGGGCTGTTTTTTTTTTGGGGGGGGGGGGGGGTGAATTTGATAGAGGTCAACTCTCAATTTTGCGTTTTTAAATATTTCGGGAAGTGATGGGTTGATTTTAATTTTCAAAATTCCACTTTCTGGCCATACATCCGTTGTCCTTTCGATGCAAGAATATATTCAATAGGAGATACTACTTGTATACACGGGGAAGAGGACAGAAATAAGATTTAAAAAAAGAACTGAGAAAACGACGCAGCTTTTTTTTTATGCCAAGTTGCCCATCGTAATTATCTCTTTGGCCCATGGCTTGTGGAAAACTATATACGGACGATGTTTGAAACATGACGCTTCAGCCTGCTGACTTGATTGGTGTTGTGTGCGTAGTCAATTACCCCTTTGCCTCCTTTTCATGTGTCCGGCTCCCTATCCCCTCGGGCGTTTCTTCCAGTCTTCATCATCATTGGGGAATGGCGAGGGAATCCCTCTGCGTTAAAACTTTTATCTTCTCTCTGCGTGCTTTATGACTCACAGAATGGGCTGGAAAAAGGGAAGAATGATAAACTAAAAATCAGGGGGTGTGAGCAAAGGAATGAATCCAACACGTTTTGGCTTTTCCATCCCGTTAAATACAAGGTTTGGGTTCCAATTTCGATTCCGAAGTATGGAAATCCTGAAGCATGAACCATTTGCCTTATGCTGGACAATTCAAACTCAAAATTCTTTGGATTATCTATAAAATGTCTCTAAAATACAGACACTTTGCCATCATTTCCAGAGGGCGCTTGAAAAGTTTTGTTTTCAATATTTGGATATCTTTTGAACAATTTAAGCTGTATAGAATTTAAAAAATTAAAAAAGATTTTGAATTTCTTCAAATTCATAATGAAAACATTGACTAATTTGTTGCTCTTTTTTGAGTTTTCCATAATCTCTGTACAGTTTATCAAGGTTCTGGTTTTTCTCTCCAAAAATCAAAGAGATTTCATATTGGGAACTTGGGGAAAAATCAACCCAATACCTTATAGTCATATGGTTATGACAACCATGAAGTTGCTTGTTGAAAATTACTGGAGGTGCACTCACTCTCAGTTGTTCCATAGTTGGTTATTCTGGATAGCAACAGGATGGAATTAATGTCTGTCTTCATTCATATCCTAGTATACTACAACTCTTTTGTTGACACCAATTTGCATCAGTGCTGTCCACATCATGTGTGACCTTGTTATGGTCAAACTTATAATTATGAGCTCATCTACACAGGGAGATTCAGAACTGCTCATCCTGACTTTGCCTCAACACCAAAGCTGTGTTGCATTTTGTATTTGTGGAAAAGCCTTTGTACAAATAAACTGAGTAATAAATGGCTTCTGGAAGAGTTTTCCTGGACTTCCAGAAGTAACAGGGAAAATGATCAAATCCTTCAGTAAACATCATTACTTGAGTTCAGGATGAAAATCACTAAGGTAGATTTTCTTGGAAGTAATTGAGGGATGGTGTTTTTATTCAACAGTGATTCAAGATAATAAACACCAGGTGAAAGTTTCTTGATGCGTTCATTTTTCTTATGAAGATGAGAGAACAATCTTTAATGATGCAATAAGAAATCCAGGCATGTTTTTCCTATACTGAGTAGGAAATTTCAAACTCTTTCTTCATAAATTAAATTTCTTCGAAATTATTCCTTGTGGTATTTTTCAAATGAATTGTACAGCATGCACACAACTTCTGCCAGCATCACGATTCAAGTTCAAAAATGTGCGGCAACAGTCTTATTATAGTCGCTCGGAAATGAAAATACATTGGCTAGCTCTTATAAAATCGTAACTTTGAAAGTATAGTGGAATCAGTACACTACAGTACTGCCGAATCGGAAATTGGTGACCTTTTCAATCCGTCAGATATTACTGGATCGATTCCAAGACTGGCTATTGCTGCTAAGCACGTTTAAATTCACTCTTCAGTAGAATATATTTTGTAGTCAATAACGATAATGCTGGTTACGGATACTGAATGCGTGTGTTCGTGTACTTACTTAAGCACTCATTCCTCGAAGCTTCGGATAAATACCCATGTTGCAAAATTTTCTGATTTCGAAATAAAAAGAAAACTAGTAAATCTTCATGATGGAAGAATTATTTCCTTTTGGCTGGAGGGGACAAATAAACAAGGAGTAAACGGATTTTGCGTATTTTGTTTTGCATCGTCTTTTCGATTACAAACTTTCATTCCAAGTACTTTGGGACGGTTGTAAATTTACTCTGGGCTCCATGGGACCTCCACCATCAATTCAGCTTGGTCTAGAAAGTCTTTTGCATGCAGTTGAGCTGATACCAGCTGGGCTTTGCAGAACAAGAAAAGGAGTTGGCAAGTAAGTTGCGATTTTCTATGGGTGCGGCTTAGCACTAAATCCTGCATCAATGGGCAAATAGGATGGCTGTTAGCCCATAACTTAGCGAGCCGTTAATCCAATATTTGATGATTAATATCCTGGTGTCTTTTGGAAATTTGATCATTTATAAAGTGCTTATTATTCCCTCACTGACAGACACTGAATAAGAAGTGTAATTTCCTTCAAGTACCATCTGAAATTTTCATCTCAATTAAGGTTGTTTTTAGTTGAAGTGTAAATCTGGTAATTATAGGGATAATTTCATATTAAATTTAAATCATGCCCCAGCAGAAAGCCAGAATAAGAAAAATGATATTTAGACCTTGTTTCGTCATTATTTTAAATTTTACGTTCGATTTCCATAAGTGATGTAATACTGTACCTGTCTATGTCTGGTTTTCTTGGCAAAAAGAAAAACTAAAATGGTTCAGTACATTCATTAATTTTGAATAAATTTCTTCAGAGTTGTACGCTCAAAAATTACACCTTGTCTTAGCTAATGCAAAAACACAGTACATTCTTTCAAATGATTAAATTTAATAATTTCCTGTAAGCCTTAATTTGTTTTAAAGCTCTGACATATATATGAGTATAACATACTGTACTTATTCAGTACCATGTGCACAGAAGTAAGGCATGCACCTCGAATTGTTTATGTCAAATTTGTCCAAAAACCTATTCCTGTGCAAGACCCACTGCCCAGTTTTGTGGGCTGAAATTTTATATCTGCATTCATGGTATGTCTTTTCTGCTTTTTATTGTCTATTGCAGCAGTCTAAATCTTTTTCCACTCAAGGGCAGGCTCCTCTACTAGTAGAGTAGTTGCCTCATCCTTCATGCAATGTTGCATCTCCAACACATTGGGTTATTCAAGAAGCACTTTATTTTGGTAATCTTCCTAAAATATCTTATTGCTTCAGCTGCTATTTCCTGTGAACAAGGAGACTTGGTGCCAAACATTTTGTCTTCATTCTTCTCTACAACTTACATGCTTTTGGAATTTCTGCCACCAAAAATTGTAATAATCTCAAGACTCAAGTACAACGTGCACACTGTTTTTCGACCTCAATTTCTGAAAAAAAGTGAATTTGGCACTGGAATAAAAATGGTACACAGTATACAGTACTGTATACAGCTTATAGAGTGACCCCAACATACAGACATCCCAAAATATAAATAATTCCAGTTAGCACCACTTGAAACTTCAAAAACATCTGCCCGAACATTTGGACAATGACTCAACAGACCGACACTTCCCCAAAATGTACAGAAAAATTGAATGATTCCATTTTTGAAATTCCACAAACTAAGTGAGCTGTTCATACTCACACACATTTCTTATACTGAAATCAACTTGATTCATAATCAAACATTGTGCTCATTTTTTCACAGTTTTCATTATACAGTATGTGCCCATTCTTGATATACCAAAATATCAAATGCTGGGTGGTGTTGAGGAATTAATCAACCCAACATGAAGAATTGAACCATAGCACAGTGGGAGAAATGGTGGGAAATAATAAGGCAGGGCAAGCAGCCAGTTTGCAGCCAGGAATATGTAATTAAGGGGGTACCTTAATTACATAACCCTAGTTTTGTCTAGTTTAATCACAGTCCACAATGAATCACAATCAAACACAATACAAAAATACATCACAATGAATGCAATAATGTAACACACATTCAATGATAACAATAAATTTGTGCGCACAAATTTAGGGTGCAATAATGCAATGCAAGAATTCAATCAAAAGAATTTGGGTTGGAATGTTTGGAAGAAGTTTACTGTAAGAGCTAATTTTACGGACTGATTATTGGAATTGGAAGAGTGCTAGGCTTTCATTGAATTTAGCACAATGCTTCTGTCAGTGACTTGACCAAAACACTGGACTTTTTCCTTGCCTGTGATTGGTGGACAAAGTGTGCATTAAAGAAGTGGTGCATCCAGGGAACCAATGTAGGAAGCAGCAAGGAAAATGGGACCAGAATGTCAGGTCCTGGGACCTGACATCCCTGGACTTGAGTTCTGGTTCCCCCAACAGGTGGTTTTCTTCTGCAAAGTAATTTTCTGCGTTTTGAAGTTGACGAAGATGTTTTATCCATCTTTTTGGAGACTTGACTCTGATTTTTTTAATGCACAGGAGAACCAATTGAATATGCTCCCATATATAAGTCTCTGCGAAAACATTATCTGACATTTGGACACCGAGAAAGGGACAATTTCCAAGCATCATCAATGAGGTCCACTTCTCCAGGCCCCACACTGTATCAACAACAAAAAGTCGTATTTGGATGCACATTGATGGGAGACAACAAAGGGTGAATGATTGAATGAAAGAGGACCATAGCATACTGTTCAATGTAATTGCGTCACCCAGCGCGCGGATTTCGCGGTTTGATCCTCCACAGCATATATACTGTATACGACGGCATAACGGGCGCGTGCGCACGGGCGGGCGGGCGGGGTTATCCGCGAATGCGGCGGCAGTTTCTCGCTCTGGTCTTATAGGAAAGGTCAAGGGAGTCAAGTCCCCTATGATCCCTGCATGCATGCACTAGCCAGGACTCGTTTTCGTTTCGCTCATTTCTCTTCTCTTCAGTTCTTTCTTCTTCCAGTCCGTCTTACTTTTTCGTTGTTGGCATTTTCGCATTCGTTTCCTTCGTGTGGGCCGTCGCAGCCGTCATCCCGGGCCAGGCAACGCTGCTGCAGCAGTCGCTTCCTGGCAGCCACCGGATGAGAACGCGCCGATGCAAACACAATGTGTGCTTATTTTAATTCCCTCTTTTTGGATGAGTTCCTGTACATCGTTTGGTTCATGAGACCAGTGTGCACTAATTTACAGTGAAATAGAAGCGCGAGAAATCAATCACCATCCATGGATAATCCAAACTGCAGGGCTGAACAGGTGATTGTTATGATTGCTTCAGCAGTTTTATGTTTCCTGCAGCTTGAAGAGAGCAAAAAAGAATTTGAAAAAGAGGGAAGAATAAGAGAATTTAAACAGCATATAATTTCGATCGGGCTGGGTTCTTTTTTGTGGGATAGTTCTTTAAAAATGGACTTTTAATCATCGTGTAGCATAGTGCATAGGAATACTTTCAAAAATTGTATGCTCATGAGCACGGAAAGCAATAAAACAATTGAATGAAAGCCTATATGTTGGTTGAAACTATAATATGTTTTTCATGCTGTGGACAATTTTCCTTGAAAAATGGAGACCAATCTGCACTGCAAAAAACTCTGGTGTTTTTTTCTGCATTCCAAGCATAAAAATGTTCTGCCCATGAGCACAAAGACAATAAAAAAAAAATTGGAAACATCTATTTTTGAAACAAGGTCTAAGTTGGTTGAAAGCGTCAAATTCTTATAATCCTGCTAAGAATTTTGCATGAAAAACGAAAAGCAGTCCTCACTGGGTAATGTTTTTCCCTGCATTCCTTGCATAGAATTAACATGGCAGATTTTTTTCGAAACAGTAGGCTATTCTCTACCCTGATTTTTTTTTCGACACTGTCCTACCCAACCCAAGGGCATATCAGTGACCTTTGGTCAAACTGAAATAAACATCCCTTCAGAAAAATTCCAAATTTACCATGGCCAGGATGGAAATCCACCCAAAGGGTCTATTTGTCCCAATACTCTCACTACGAAAAGTAAACTCACACTTTGACACACCAGAACATACCAAAGGTTTATATGTACAGCAAAGGATGTTTTTATGGCACAGAAATGTGGCATGCATGTGGCAGTTTTCAAGCTAGAGTAGAGCAAGTGCTTTGGTGGTTGCGTTATTTTCGAATGGTTAAGGGTTTATATTGATCTGAGAAATGTAGTCATATATGATGTGAATACAATAGTCAATTTTCGGGCTGGTTTTCTCTTGGGGAAGACAGCCCATTTTCTTTATTCTTTCCACAAGCCCCTGACGATACCGCAGTAATTATTATTATTCACTTCTCTTGATGAATGTCAATAACCATATGATTACAGTACACAGAACAAGAGAAAATGATCATCGTTATCATTTGCCGGTTTTCCAGGGAATCTTCAGAATCTTTTCCAGAGTATAATGCTGCGTTTCGTGTGTTCTGAAGATAAAAATCTACCTCTCGTAGTTTCAAACAATTTTGCATCGGAAAAAAGACTGCAAGTACGATTTTTGCGTAATTCTGAGAGGACGTACTTTCGGAGACATTGAAAGAGTTAGAAATTACAGTATTGTATACACTAAAATATATTTACAGTGAAGAGACCATGAATAAACCTTTTTACGAGCAGACATTTAAAAAAATGAAATTACAGTAGAATTGGGTTTTTGAACGAGAAAAAACTAATTACATAGAAGCAATTATGCTTTAAAACGAGATTTTGCAAACAAATTTGCCACTAGCCGTCTGTCGTCTGCATGCGTTGAGATCCAATATTTCTTTTCTCTACAACCTTATACAGGTATATGATAAAAATGAGTCAAATGTTAAACTACTGCATTATTCAAAGTTTGCAGAATGATTATGTTTTGTTTGTTCATGAAAAAAGTCGAATTTCCTTCGAAAACAATTCCCATCCGTGATTTTATTCGTGATGTCAGTGGATTACTGCTGTCCTTTTGTTGGGAAACCGCCGCACACCGAACAATAAATGCTAAAATTAATTTAAAAATAACTATGAAAAACCGCGATAATCAGATAAGAGTTCCAACCCTCAAAGGGAAGGATCTCACCAAGGACAACCACAATTCAAACAAAAAGAAAACCAGAAACCGATTTCCGTTTCCCCCCCCCCCCCGATTTCACTGGAGAACGAAATTATTGAAGCCACTTCAATTCAAACCTCTGAACAGTGCATATTGGCTTAAATCGCGAAATTTAAGAATATTATTGGAGTTCTGTTGAGTGTTGTATTTTCGAAAAGAATATTATTTGTGTGTTATCTTTGTGGGACAAACAGCTTGATATATACTTTTAATTTAAATTAGGGAAACAACAATTAATAAGGTTCCCCGGCCTAGTCCCAGGCTGATTCTGTTTTTTTTTTATTTCAATACTTGAAAAACTTTACTTTACAAATTGATCTACTTGTAAAAACTTACAAATTTATGTTAAGGTAAGTTTCTCCCTAACACCTTTGGAAAGAGCCATAGCAGTTGTGAAGATTATTCTTGAGGAATCAATAAAGAAAGCTGCATATTTTTTTTTTTGCTTGCTTGTTCGTTTATGTGCAAATTTCCGAACAGGAATCTCACAGTATTACAGGAAATTGAATGAGTGCTGATTAGAAATTGAACGGCAATTGCGAATCATTTTGGACGTGTCGAATCAGCAGTGCCGAATTCGTGAACTTCGGAAAAAATCCATGTGATATTACCCGTGTGTTCCGTTGGAAAAAGTGAATGAACTGTGAAAAAAAAATCGTAAGCATTTTGTGTGACATCAAGAAGTTCATGAATATTTTCCCAAGAGCATCTGACACCTACCTGTGGACGTGAGGGAATTTTCGCACCACGACGAATTCCGGTGAGTGAATTTCAATTACTTCCAGGAAAGAAAAAAACAACGCGCGTCCAAGAACATGTGGATCTGAGGAAAAATTTAGGGCTTTATTTCTTCAATTGCGGGCTGAAAATTCGAAAACATTCAGAACAAAATGAATTATAAGGTTGGATTCATATGTGAGGAAGGCGTTCGACAATGACGATGTGCTGACGATCGTGACGAAACCACATCGCTTTTGTAAAAATGTAATCCATCATTGAAAAAGAATGGAATTCAGTTTGCAAAGTATGCAAAAACTTTGATGGGTCGAAGCGGTTTTAACAAACTTTCTCGGGTCTATTGTATTGCTTATGCTGATGAAACTTGCTGCTTTCTTCTCTTGTGAGGCATAATTTATAAATGCTGGTTGTTTTTGCGTGTGATGCTGCATGCGCAAGCTTTTACATTGCGTGTTCATGCCATCAATAGTAAGAGAAGATAAACATACAGAAAAAGTAGATGGGCGTGAACAAAGACGCAAATGCCAGCAATTAAGAAGGGTTTCCCATATTTGCTGAGGACCCTGGGAAAATAAACCAGAAAAGGCCGATCATGGTGAATAAAGGACCAGTTTTGATTGACGGCGCCGCGCCGCTATGGACACTTTCGGCGCCTGAGTGCCTTCAATAGTACACCCTTAAGTGAGACTGACTTGAAAAAAATCAGAACCGAAAAATATCATCCAGATTTTCTGGTGGATATACTGAAAATGACGCATCGCAATTCCAATTATTGTGAGAATCACTGATATACAGTAGGTTGCTTAGGCTTCAAAGAGATTTCGTTTTTAATCACGTCTCTTTACTTTGGCAAAAAAATTGGAAAAGTCCTGTAAAAGATGCCAAACATGTAGTTATCAATTTTTAAACCGAGAATAACTCACTTGTCAACCCATATAGTCGTAACATACTTATTAATAAGGGCTGTGATATGCATATGGTTATATAGCCCCCAAAATATATATACCTGGAATTTCTTTACAAAGAAATGCAGGCGACCAGAAACAAATTCATTGTAGACAGAACTTCGTTGTAGGGACCCTCTGAAAGATGGGTGGAGAACACGATGTGACGGAAAAAACATTTATTCGGACAAAATCGCTCTAAGCAGTATGGTTGTACAGGGAGTCTGGCTGTAAGCACAAAGATTTCCTTTTTTTATAAATCAAAGAACCTTTAGCCAAGCTTTATTTTGAATTTTTTTTCGTGGAAATTGCAGTTTTTTCAAACACAGCTACCCTACTTTTTCCAGGATACTTCATTTTTTTGCAGCATGGAGCGCAAATAAGTGTAATCCTCCGCATAATTAATCGTAGTAAAATTGTGAACAGCCTTCGCAAATTATCATTTCCTTCTTACTGAAATATTTTGTATTATATTTGAAGCCTACCTCTTTTGTTCTCGCAGTCAACAATAAAGCAACACTAAGGAAGGGAAAAAGTAAGAGAAACATTTTTGAGCTGTTCAGGAATGTGGAGAAAAAGATGGAAACCCATTCTGAGCATCGAGAGATGTGTATAAATTTCCTTAATGTATTTTTTGAAGCTGATGGGTAGTACATTCTTGGATAGATAGCCAGGATCTTTACTTGATACTGTTTTTCATGGATGGATTTTCTTGAACTGACATCAATCCTTATACAATACAGTGTGTTTTAAACAACACCCAATGGTGCCAAGGCAAACTTATGTGCATTGCTATACAAAAAATGTGCTGGGAAATTAAAAAAATGTTCCTACTGGACAGAGGCCTAAAAGGCTCTTTCTTCCACAGTAGGAATCCGGTGCATATTAGGTTTGCTATAACCAGCTTGTATGGTATAGATGTGAGAAAGAAACTGAAGACTGTCAAATCTACCATTGTAAATCTTGTCAGGGGTCCCATCAGAGACCTCATTGGCAAAGAATAGTTTTTCAGGTGAAATAAGGTTTTAGACACAATTGCCCACTTGCAGCCTGATGATATACCCTCACACACTCTTTGTATGCTTCTGTTTACAAAGTTCAATCATATGGTACAAAGATCTCAATCTTCTTGTATTTGAGGTTTAGACCCAAGTGATTCCTCTTCCTCTCCATCCTGATTCACCATTGTGTAATCTTTCACGAAGGCTTTGACTGCATTAAATTTTCTTGTTAGTAATTCAGATTTGTTCATATATTGTTTCAATTGTGTTCTGTTTTGTTCTGTGTGATATGACATGTTTTGAGACTTTTGAGTGACATACAGTCAACTTGCAGCACATGGCTCATGTCTTGGGTGACATCTAGTTGACCCGCAACAAATATTTCCTCATTTTAGCACTACTTTACATCCAATCCTATTATTTGACTTTAAGATAGGTTACAGAAGATTTTTTGTGAAATATCTTCAACTGAAATCTGACACAATAATTTCAAATTTTTCATTGGAATTTCATTTATGAGTATTTTCTGCAACTCTGAAAGCTGAAATGATTGAACAAACCAATGACAGTGGTCTGTTTCACAGACTGATGTTGATGATCCAGACATGGTTGATGATTCAACTGCTAAAATTTGTAGCCCTCTGTTGCTAAAAAATGTTTAGTATTGAAGTTGAACATCTACAAACTACTCAACTTTGTCATTTATGTATGCACCAATAAACACAATGTCTCCAATAAAAGCCAGACTCCAATAACGTTAGGTCAAATAAGGAGCTAGGAGGGGTAAAAGGAATTCAAAGAATTTTCTTGATCCTAGTAATATTTTTCACAATCTAGTCTTAAACATTGAACAAATAAACCTTTCCCTTGTTTCTTTCATGCATTCCAATCTCGTTTCTGAAAATTATTCGGAAATCTGAGTTTTTTCTCAGGTTTCACCTTTTTCTTTATATCCTTGTCTGTCAGTTGCGACTGTATTGGAAATAATTGACAGTTTCTGATAGATGCCACTCCCTTTCAAATACCTGGGGTAACATTAAATATTACAACACAGAAGCTGGTGTATTCATATTGGATCATATAAAGTACACCTGGGTTGGCCCTGCTTATTTGGAAAGCGACTAATTTGGATATTTCTAAATTAAATTAAACTAATTAAATTAGTCAAAGTAAACTGAAATGCTTTGTCAAATGAATTTCATTCGCAAAAATTTGCAAGATTGTTGTAGAATATGTTCCGGTTGAAGTCAGTCGTGCTGGTGCCCCATGGATTCGTGCCCCACGTGGGCGGGCCCTGGGGGAAGGAGAGCCCTTACATCCGCTTTTGACGCCACAATAAGTTCTTCATCACGGGTTCCTCCCATCTATCTTCGCGTGCTAAAACGGAGTACCTTCGGTTTTTGTTTGTGTATTCTTCATTGAACCAGGAGAATAACCCCGGTTTTGCCCGTCCCTCGTCTTCAGCATGCACTGTACTTCGTTGTATGCGATACCCACATTCGAGGGACATTCACCGGATCCAACGGAGTGACGAATCGGAATGATGCATGCTTCATTCGAATTTCTTCAAGAATGTGAAAGACATTCGAGTCCTTGTTATTAGGAAACGTTTCACAGTACAGTACTGTACTATGCATCAAATTTGTTGGGTATAACTGTTAGGGAGAAACTTACCTTAACATAAATATGTTTGACTTTTTGCTAGTGGATCAAGAAATTAACTGAATAAAGGAAAGTTTGGAATTATTTGGAAATGAAAGTCAGAATCAGCCTGGGACTAGGCCGAGGAACCTTATTTTGTTTTCCCTGATTTACATTAGAAGTGTATTTTGAATATTTTGTCCCACAAAGTTGATGCACAAATAATGGGTCTTTCAACAATACAACACTCAACAGAACTTGTAGATTTTTGCGATGCGCACACTTCGAAAGTTTGATAGCAAGTGGGGTTTGTTCTTTGGTAAATTGCGAGAGCAGCGGAAATAAAAACTAGTTATTCATTGTTCTTCTAGGTTGTTATCCTTAGTGAGTTCCTTCCCTTTGAGGGTTGGAACTCTTATCAAGATTTTCGCGGTTTTTTATAATTCATTTTAATTTAATTTTAGCATTGTTCGGTGTGCAGCGGTTTCCCAACAATAACAATCATTTTATTACCACGTTTTTATGAACTCACTTTCTTGTCTGTCTGTTTGTCCGGATCAAATTTTGAAACTCAAATTTCACTCACTTCCAGATTAGCTAGCAAGCTGAAACTTTCAGGATAGCCTAGAAACTGATGACAATGCAATCTTCTGTGCTTTTTGGCACACTATGAGCAGTTTAATTAGAGTAATTACAGTTAATGACCACAACACAGGAAAGGCGACACCTGGAGAAGGCGCGCCAAGTGCAAATTGGTGCACCTTCTCCAGGTGTTGCCTTTCGTCTCCTTTGTTCGGAGCTTGGTGGCATGTTTAATAATTAGTCGGTAGTGATTGATTCCCCGGGGGCGGTTGGAGAAAACGGGAGGCTGGCTGGCTGGTTTAAGCAGTTCTGGTTCGGATTGTGGGGTTCGGGGGGGGGGGGGGGGNATCTAAAAAACCACGTTTTTCAAGTAAGACTAAAAAGCACAATAAAATTTAGTAGATTAAAAAATTCATCTAAAAAACCACGTTTTCAAAAAGCAAAAAATAACCTTAAACGTGGTGCGCATGGAGATTGTTGGGAAGAAGTGAAATACAAATGAAATAGATGCACACCACGTTTAAGGTTATTTTTTGCTTTTTGAAAACGTGGTTTTTTAGATTAACTTTTTAATCTACTAAATTTTTTTTTGTAATGAAATCCCGATGCAAAATGTTCCCCTGGCGATGCGTCATGAACTTGACTCAGTTTTCTGTAGGGATTTTTCAAATGAATATCCCAATTACATTCAATGATTTCCTCTAGCAACTCGATGAAAAATGTGCAAAAAATCGCCAACAAATTCTTCGTATGTTTTGCTAACCTTCATCGGAAAAAAATGTGTCGGAAAAGAATGTGTCAACGAAACTTTGTTTCGCGGAAACCCTAAATGTATTGCTCAAAGCTGAAATTTCTTGGCGCACCACAATAATGTTTCTGCTTCACAATTTTAAATTTACCCGAATCATCTTCAGCAATGAAGATCGCTTGATAATTTTCCACTGCTCTGTTCTTTCTTTCAACATTCATCGCTTCCATGATTTAGCAAACCCGTAGGAAAAGTTGATTTGAACTTTTGATGGGAAAACAGCTTATGAATCTGGAATGGACAAGGAAGAATTTTCACTCAATAACACTTATTTCTTATCTCATAATGATTCTGAATTACGAGCATCACTGTTTGGAATCATCAAAAAGGATAACGATCCGGAAGAAAAGGTTTTCTGTTAGTCTCAGAATGAGAGATTATTTCTCTCGTAGATGTTCCAATGATGATTTTCAACCCGTATCCAAGTTACATTTGTGTGATGACCTAGGACACGCTCCCTTTCACATCGTGATACCCTCGTTATGATGAAACGAAAGTACAGTACAAATATTTCAGCCATTTTAGAACATAAACTCATGAAATTTGCTCAGAAGAAAGGTTGAATGATTGTGAAAAAAGAAAAACTCCTGCTATTGTACTCTACTGTATTTGGGAAAGTTGCACTCAATAAAAGAATGATACAAGAACCATCTTCTGCTTATAAAAGAAATATCTATTTAAAAAAAGTTAAAAGGTTTGCTTTTGTTCGAAGGATGTCGAATATTTTCAATATTTTCATTTTACTTTGCTTGAATGAATATACTCCACCCCCCGCCCCTCCCTCCTAGCAAATAATTCAGCAAATAATTTAAAATAATTTTCTGGCGCGGTAAAATTAATTATTATTTTACTTCATGAAATCCCCCCCCCTTCGACGTTCTACATAATCTGCAGATTCTACACCATTCTATGCTTTCCAGGATATCCAAAAAATCACATTATGCTGGGTATCAAGATACAAATAAGTACTGTAAATACTGAAGCATTATTAATAATTTGTCATCTTCCAAGGATGGCAAAAATCACAGCACAAGCCAATTGCTTCTCACTAAAAATTAAAACCCAGTGTATTCAGCCTGTTCCCAGGACAATCTTAATTTATTTAACACTTGACAAGATTTTTTATATGCTGTACATAGTGGGAACCCAACATGCAGATTGGGATACATTCAAATTTTGACATTTTTTCGCAATTCGGAGAGAACCAAAACCTTGAGACATTATCCAGATTTCAGGGCAGCTTTTTTTGTGTTGAATGTCCCTAATGAGTTGAATTGTTCACTTATGTTGGGGTCCCACTGGTGTATATACGTGGGTGCAACAGCAATGTGTGAGCAATATGGGGGCGAAGGGATGATGATGGGATTCCAGCTGATGCCCCAGAAAAGTACTGTGCATCAGTTCTTTCTCTCTCTCTCTCTCTCCAAAAGAATACCAGCACTTGTCGACAAGTCATCATGCAGAGACGAGGATTGCGCGCATTCCATATACTGTACAGCACAGCACAGTACAGTATAGTACAGTACACAGTACAGTACATGTACACAATATCGAAGAGGTTGAATGAAGTAACCCATACTGCTGTGGGGGTCTAGTCGAAAGGTCGCCACGTGATCACGAGTGCGCCGCCGCGGGTCAAGTGAGCGCGTGTGTCTGTAATTTCTCGTGACTGATCCGGACGCCGCGACTCTGTCATTAAATATCGACGATGCAGATTTCATTCCATCCCCCACTCCTTCTTCTCTTTTGTTTTTCCTTTCTCTCTATGTTTTCATTTATTTCCGACACCGGAAATAAAGCAACGATCATCGGGGAAAAAGGGAGGGAGATGTGTTGCTGCGGTGCTGCAAGGAGAGGATGAGGACGAGAGACAACCGAGACAGAGAGAAGACTTATTTGTAAAGAGAAGACAGAAATGAATAAGAAGAATAAATAAAAGGGGACGAAGGGGTCGTGTCACGCAGTGACGAGGCCTTTCGGGGTCAGGTCGCCTTTTTTGTTTGTTTATAAATATCACGTACAGTATATACGTTATATGCGACTTGAGCGAGCTAGACAATCGTGGATTCCTTTCTTATTCTCCATTGGCAATCATTTTTATTGGCCGGGTGTCAACTTGACCCCAAGAGGCTGCATACGCACTAAGTGACGTGTGTGCATGCTGTGAATAATGCACAGGTATGATCGGGAACACGTCAGGTTTCTTATCGTTATTCATTTCTCTGGAAATGGATAAAGGGAATAATACTGTACAGTATATATGATATTCTGAATGGGAAATACTCACATTGTGTGAAATCCCACATTTGCAATAAGTTTCATGCGACAAATGTTATCTTATTGAGTCCACCACTTGCGGATTTTATAGAGTTCCGGTCATGAGATTATTGCACTGTATCTGCACGAGTACCATGACATTCCTTTGAATAATGCACATGGGCATCTCTCTTTTTTTTGCATGGAATTTGCACAAAAGTGTATCCCCACATTGCACAGTCTTATTGTTGGTCCAAAATCGATGTTTTCTTTTGAATATGAATTTTACACTAAATGAACTCAAGAATACATATATTGTACTATTCTTGTAATTCAAAACAGTGTTCCCCAACCTGTGGTCTGTGGGCCAGTACCAGCCTGCAGAAAATGTTTGACGGTCTGCATCAGGACACTTCCTGCAACATGATGAATTTATCAAAGTGGCAATGGTGTATTTTATCTTTATCTAAAATTTTGCAAAGACAATTGCAGAGTTGAAATGGTCCAATAAAAAAGTTGTCTTTTCTCCTAACACTTCAGACAAATTTTTGCAAACCAAAATAATTTATTTAATTTTTTCATCCTGGGGAACCTTTCTTCAAGCCCACCTTTCTAATTTTTGTAAGACATTTCCTTATACAAGGGTTCTAACAAAAGTTCTCAGAGTTGACCACAAGCCATCACCGGAGATGGATGAACTTCTTTTTATTGGATTCCTCATCCTTTTTTAACCTAGAACCAATTTTTTTTCATCCCTATATAGACAAAAAATGGAAACTGGGAAAAAAATTGTATGAGGTTTTTCTGGTGCTGTGCCCACCCATTCAAACAGAAGTTCTTGAAATGAAAATGAAAAAAAAACTTTTGGGTCAAAACAATTTTCTTATTGACAAAAAACACTTTCCCTTGAAGCCCTTCTATCACAGTTGGAAACAACCAAAAATCTCAGGGAGCAAGATCAGGGGAGTAAGAAGGAAGAGTGAAAAGCTGAATGCCCAAATTTTTAATGAAATCACGAGTTTTCAAAGCAGTGTGTGC